CCCACCCTAGCGTCAGAACCCCTGACCCTGGGGCCATGAATTTCACAATTTTGGTAGAGTCACCCTTGCTTATCATAACTATGTATTCAATTTGTTTCAATAATACCCAGGAGTAGAGAAGAAGATTTTTCAAAGAAATAATGCACTTTAACTATATGATATATATAGCCCCACCCTAGCACCAGAACCCCTGACCCTGGGGCTATGAATTTCACAATCTTGGAAGAGGGCTCAATGCTTATTAGAATCATGCCAATAGATTGACTGCTTGATGTCCAGGAGTAAAGAAGATTTTTAAAGATTGCATTAATTTTTATGGTTTTGGCCCCACCCCTCAGGCCCCAGGGGGGCAGGGGCCAAGAATTTCAAAATTTTTGTTCCCCTTCACCCATAGATGCTATATGCCAAAATTGGTTGAAATTGGTTTGCTGGTTCTAGAGAAGAAGCTGAAAATGTTCAAAAGTTTACGACTGATGAATGACGCACGGTGACGGACGAAAAGAGATAGCAATAGGTCACCTGAGTGACTCAGGTGACCTAAAAAGAATAAACTTATTTATTTTACAAAAAAAGTTGAATTAAACATTGTACATATGTGCAAAAAATAAACTTAAATTAATGATTTTACTTAATGTGCATGTATCGTCTTTCTTAGGACATTTTTCATTGATTTGTTTATTTATTTATTATTTATTTATTTTTTAGCACCAGGCATTAGAATACAATAGAATAGTTTCAATGCAAGGAAAAGATCAGAGGCATTCCGAATAAATTGTTCATCTTGAGTTCACTGTTTGTTCACCATTCACTTTGAGCTCCGTTTCGCGCTCTGCGTTCGCTCACCGTTCACACATGGTTCACCAAGTTGCATTCAGCATTCACACATCGTTCACTCACCGTTCGCTCTGCGTTCGTTCACCGTTCGTTCAGCTTTCACTCACTGTTCAATTGGGAAAGTAGAATGTTTCAGGGACTGTAGCTGAAAATCTCAATTTTTCCAACTTTTCTGGCTGTTACTATGGCAACCAAGATATAGAGCAACAAAATCTTATTTGATATGTTTTTCTGGTGTTGAGTTGTAATTATGGGCAAAGTTTCATCAAATTGGTGACCATGCGTGGCAAAGAAGTTTAAGTACAGGTCCACGTAAGAATCAGGCAATCGGTGATAAGTCGAATATTTCATATTTGGCCTTTATTTTTTCATATTATTACTTGATATAGTAGTAATTAAAATAAATCATGATTTTTCCAAAAAGGCACATCCAGGCTGTGATATGTTACTATAAATAGATTCGGGCATTTATGGGCCAAAATGTCAACTAAAAAAGAGGATCAAGTTCAGTACAGAAGTAACAAGTGTTGTTGTTTTTCATAAATTATCTAACCTTATTTTATTTTGAGAGGAGTTTGTATCCTTCTTGTATTAGTTGTCATGGAGTTGATATCTAGGTCGCATCCATAGTAACCATTGTAATTATATGTCAAGACATTTTTGATGTCACAAACATTGTGAATTTAAAACAATATTATTAAAAACAGCAAATACATTATGTAACTTTTTACACATGGAAAAATAAAACAACTGCTCATTATTAGTTTTCCAGTTTAAAAAGTGTGGAAAAATCAATTAGCAGTTTTTAATGGAAAGAAAAACTATTGAGAAATTTTGATAAATTGCTTGAAGTTTGACAAGATTTTTTCCTAAATCTAAGTTCATTGTGTGTAAAATTTAACTTGTATTGAATTGTTTCTTAATTACATTTATCACATTATTATGATTTTTTCTATTCAATGTACCAAGTTTACTCTGGAATCAATTTTATTTCTCTAAAATAGTTTTGGAGAGAATTATGATCGGGATCGAAATTCTGTATATTAAGTACCCAACTTTGATGATTCCAGATTTTTTTCTGTTTTTATTTTAAACAGCTGTTAAAACTAAGCAGGCGCATCCAGTTTTCTTGTATTACTTTTTTCATAGAGTAAACATGATGACCAATCACTATCTATTTGGGTGACTCTTCTTATATAAGCATTTTTTTTTTTTCATTTAGTTTTTCAGCTTTTACTCTTTGTCAAATACTAACTTATGTATAACAACAAAGTCTGAGAATACATTATGCTACATGAAGACATAATTATTATGTATAAACAAGTCAGAGTATGTTGGTCTCTGCTAGCAGTGTCGTAAAACTGTCAACTTCTATAGATAAAATTATAAATTCATTTTCTTTGACTCCTTCTAAATCATATACTACATGTATATGAAAGGAATGTAATTAAAAGGATTTTGTTCAAGTCTGCAGAAAATGATGCAGCTGCAACATTTGATTTACTGTACCATTATATGAGCAGCAATATGATATTTTTAATTGCATATTTAACAAATATGTCATGTTGTTCAACATACTAAACTAAATGGTTTTTATATGAAAATTTCCAAGTTTATTCTTAAGAAATCAACAATGACCAATTTGCAAAAAGGTTTCACATGTTTATTAAATTTTAACAATTTACATGATTTATAAATTACATTGTACATTATACAAAGATCAAAATTTGTAGAAGAAAAGTTGTTTTAATATCAGTTCTTTATAATCATCATTCCATCCCATGATTTAAAAAAAAAAAAGATTTTTAAACTACAGTACTTTTCAAGCAGACATGCACATTCAAAATTCTGAACTTGATCAATTTAATATATGGACTTGTGGTGCTTCTACTTTTGGATGGTTTCCGTTGTTTTCTCATATAGTACTCGCCACTCTAAATGTCAACTGGTATGCTATTCCCTTTGTTTACAACAGTTAATGAGCAATGTAGGACTAAAGTTATACCTACACTACTGTCGCTATCTTTTATGATGGTTAAACACAACAAAAGGCACCAGATTCACTGCTCAATGTGATTTTAGAAAATTCTTTCATTCGTAGTTTGTTTCCTCCTTTTTCACTAAATTTTGAAGTTTGGACAGGAGAAGAAAACCTCGACTGTTTGAGAAGACCAAAGAACTCTTCTGCAACTTGAACTTGCCTGAAAAATTAAATGCAGTGGCATATTACCAAGTATTTTAAACTCTGAATAAGCATAAAAAATATTATGGAACAATTTAATTCCTTATCTCTAAAAAACATTTTTAAAGTCTTAAGCAAGATGTTTTTTTCAATTGGTAGTTTAAAATAAAATAAATATACCCATTTTATAAAATGGGGTTCTCCTAATTCATAGGAAGGACTTTCAAGAAGAAAAAAAATTACACCCAACTTTGAAATAATTTTGAAAAAGACCAAAAATTAAGGCACTTAAAGCTTAAAGGAAAAAAGCTTGCTTATTATTTTTGGTTGACATCAAAAGGGTTTTCCTCACTGTTAGCTTAAAAAACTACTCACTTGCACATGCTGCATCACATGAACTCTTTGTGAGAAGATAATTTCCATATTTCAGCAGGATTCCGGGAAATAAATCCATAAATGTTAGATTATAATTGTGTCTTGAAATAACCACAATCAACTGTTACATAGGCTATGTTGTTGTTCTCAAATCGAGTGTCGCATGACTCGAAAAAGTCCGCATTTCCTCGCCAACATGACTTTATGATTGAGAGTTTCAATAAAACTGCTGTTTGGCAACGATTGTTTAAAGTGCGTTGTGTAACGCGAAGACCAATTTCCTTTGAAGTCTGTTATAAACTCTTGTGCATCTTTGATAACGCAGACGGCAGTCAAACTGTAAAACTATAAAATCCTGCCCAAATCTGCATATGACAACAGACAAGTTTCGAGCAACCTGAACCCGATCAAATTTGATACCCACTGTAACGCTAGATTTCAAAGAAAAAGATGTTTAGTTTGAAGTTATACATTCCTTAATTTTCAGTAGATTAATTTAACCAACATAAAATGCCAAATTTGATGTTTAATCAATTTGGTTCTGTTTTTTCAGCATCAGTGTACTTAAAAACGGAGCGCCCTCAAGCGACAAATTAAGTCATAAATCAAGAACGATAACTGAAATTCACTAATATTGGAAGTAATAATCGGGGTAGTAAACGCTAGACTCGCAATTTTCCAAACTTTTTAAAATTTAAAATTATAATTTTTAAATAGCTGTTTTGTTGTTCATTAATTATCACTTTCTCTCATAACGTTTGCTGTTTTAATTTTTTAAGGTTTCAATATCCATACCATTGTATAGATTTGTACTACTCATGTTCATAATATTTTCTCAATATATTGCCTATTAAATTAGAACAAGCCTGAATATTTCCAAATCATTGAACATATGTAATATATATGTCCTAATGCATAACCATGTGAAGTTTCAAGTCAATTCTCAAACACTGACTTATCACGAAAATTTGATTTTGCCTGATTCTTACGTGGACCTGTACTCTTAAGTGGTTACAGAGAATCGCTATTAAGTTTTGTTTAACTTCCCTTCAAGAATTTTTCACTCATGTTGAGACACCACCACTTGAAGATGGAAGCTATGGCCTACCTATCTGAGAAGTTCCACGCATTAATTTTTTTATACTCCCAGTTTGTCAGTCAAATTAAAGCAATACAAAGGCCTGTGATTTAAATTAATGTTATTGGCACCTTAAAGCCAAACAAAAAAATATGTGTGGTTCCGGTTACACTTCCAAAAAAAATTAGGGTAGGTAGGTAGGGATTTTTTTTTTTTTTTAAAAACAAAATGATTTTTTTTAATTTTTTCTAAATAATACCTATCACTGCTCTGCAAATGGCATTTAGATGTGGTGAGATAATATACTAGTCAATATTGGTAGGGGACACCTACATGCTAGCTTGCACTATGTTTTGCAAGGAGGCCGTCATTGCTGAAACTAAAACTTAAACTGGAGCCATTGATAGGAATCTGGGAAAATTCCGGAAAAAATATGAAAATTGCCGAAAAAAAGTTTAGGGTCGGGGGTATAAAATAGGGACGGTTGGGTAACCGGAACCACACATATTTTTTTATTTGGCCTTAACTTACCTCTGTAAAACTAAAGAAGAGGCCTATTCCACCAGTCAATTTGAAGCCATAATTAATTTTGTCACTGAGTTTTTCTGAACATGAAGCACAGGGGCATGTTTCGTTTGCATTTGAGGTATGAGTAGCATTTCCAGCACAACAGGCATAATCTGAGTTGCTTTCACAACACTTCAACTGCAAAATGATAAAAACTTATTCTATAACAATATGTAGGAAATTAAGATACCTGTCTCAATAATTTCAGATGTCAAATTTACTTCAATCTGATAGCAATTCAGATGAATGTTTCAAAGTTTTTTGACAAAATATGAACATATGAGGGCTGTTCGGAAATTATTGAGACATTTACTTTTACTCTATAAAGGACAGAGATAAATTCATGAAAATTCATCAACATTTTATAAAGAATGAATAAAACAAATGTGCAAAATTTCTAATTTATAGGATATTTAGATAGGTTCCAGTGAAATCATAAACATGCATATGTCTATCGACCTCAAGCAGCACCGCTACGTCATTTTAACGTCACATCAGCCAGAGATGTTTTCGCATGTGAAATGATCAGGAAGTGTTAACTCTTTTTTCTCCGTTATCTCACATAACATTCCAAAATTCAAAATGTTTCTTTTCATAAAAGATTCTTTAAAAAAAAAAAGAATAAAAACTAGAACTGTCCAAAAGGGACAAATACCCCCCGCTGGGTTTTTCAGAGAAGGTACCAAATCACTAATGTTTTCTAGATGTGAGAGGTGTTCACAATTTGCTTAAACATCTAGAGTGATAATTTAATTACTCATTATATTTTTTTTTAATGAATGAAATTAAGGTGCAGCCTAATAAAACATCAATACTAATAATTACAGTGTTTTTTTATTACATTGAAAAAATAGTTTGCAACTATCTGTCATCTTTGTGAGACATGACACTCTGCAAATTGATTGTTGAAAAAAAAATATCATGATTAATTATACAAAGTCAAATTGATCCAAATACCTTTATATCAAACTCATTTTAAAAATAAAAGGCTAGTTTCAGTAACTATGTATTTTGACAGACATAAATTACAATATTAAGAGGCTTAGACAACAGAGATCTTTATTTCTTTCTGCCCAATTCCCAGGAGATATAGATAAGACCTGCTTGTTCAGAGATGCCCTAACAGCTTCCCACACTGAACTCATTAATTAATCTTTAACTGGATGCATGTCCACTCATTACTCCAAAGGGACAGATAGATTTACAATATCTGCTGTGTAATGTAAAAACTGTTTTTAATATTTTGTGATTTTTTTTTTTAGTTCTGATGAGTAGTTTTAAGCTGTAGTTCACATTTTTGTACAGATGTTCGAGATTCTATGTCTCAAACCTTAGACATGAACCCAAAATGACTAAGTCAATAAAAATGAAAAAAAAAAAAAAAAAACCTGTAAAATGCAGAAAAATTATCAAATATTGTTGAAAATACCAGGTGCACATCTTCATATGGTAATTAATAAGTGTACAGATTTTCATACAAATCTATGCAATAGTCTCTGGGAACAGATCTGAGTTATTAGAGTGAAAATTTAATTACTCATTATATTTTTTTTTAATGAATGAAATTAAGGTGCAGCCTAATAAAACATCAATACTAATAATTACAGTGTTTTTTTTATTACATTGAAAAAATAGTTTGCAACTATCTGTCATCTTTGTGAGACATGACACTCTGCAAATTGATTGTTGAAAAAAAAATCTCATAATTAATTATACAAAGTCAAATTGATCCAAATACCTTTATATCAAACTCATTTTAAAAATAAAAGGCTAGTTTCAGTAACTATGTATTTTGACAGACATAAATTACAATATTAAGAGGCAGAGATCTTTATTTCTTTCTGCCAAATTCTCAGGAGATATAGATAAGACCTGCTTGATCAGAGATGCCCTAACAGCTTCCCACACTGAACTCATTAATTAATCTTTAACTGGATGCATGTCCACCCAAAGGGACAAATAGATTTACACTATCTGCTGTGTAATGTAAAAAACTGTTTTTAATATTTTGTGATTTTTTTTTTTGAGTTCTAATGAGTAGTTTTAAGCTGTAGTTCACATTTTTGTACAGATGTTCTAGATTCTATGTCTCAAACCTTAGACATGAACCCGAAATGACTAAGTCAATAAAAATGAAAAAAAAAAAACACCTGTAAAATGCAGAAAAAATATCAAATAATGTTGAAAATACCAGGTGCACATCTTCATATGGTAAATAATAAGTGTACAAATTTTCATACAAATCTATGCAGTAGTCTCTGGGAACAGATCTGGACAAAACCACATAATAAAATTGAAAAAAAAAACACAGGTCTGTAAAATGCAAAAAAATAATCCAATCATGATGAAAATACCAGGTGCACACCTTCATATGGCGAATAATAAGTGTACAAATTTTCAGACAAATCCTTGCAACAGTTTCCAAGAAATGGTCCGGACAAAATCTCGTCTACAGACAGACGGACAGACAGACTGACATGCTGATTCCAATATACCCCCCCTAAACTTCGTTTGCGGGGGGTATAAAAAATGTATGCTGTTGCTACTCCAGTGTAAAATATTCATGTGTCATATACAGGTTGACTTAGCATCACGCAGTACCGATTTATGCAAAGCGGGTCAACGTTATTTCGTCCTTAATAATTTATGGTCGTCCGGAGCTTTTGTTTTTACTCTAACTGGTTGAATTATTGGTAAGAAAAAATACATACCAATGAAAAAAAAAACCCTTAGACATTCTCATTAATATTGTTTTAGCAGGTCAGTCAGTCTGGAAAAGAGTTCTCCATAGCGTTACATAAATTTTAAGGTACATGCTCACTGCATCGCCTTGACGTCAAAATCCAATTTGTCATCATTATCAGATTTCTTTACCTGGCTTAATTTTTTTTATGATCTATACCATTGAAAAGAAGAAATAAAATATTTGTAAAATATTTCTGGCTTGTAATAATTCTTGGTACTGTGGCTCCCGTTTTATCAAATAGTCAAGTTGTCAGACTAATTTTATCAGAATAGCCGATTGCTCTATACCGAGTCCAAAGATAGATGTATAGAGCTACATGTATTGATAATACATCATAGCAAATTTCAAACTTGCACTTTCGTTTGATTAGTTTACTTAGTGAATTTCCTAAAATAAATTATTTCACTTACTTATGAATTTAATATGATAACATTTTTCAAATAAATTGATGTATAAAATATATTCTTTGATAGTTATTGCCATCTTAATTCAGCACGTTTACATTCCTTCTTCGATGGACGCCATTTTGGAAACGGAAGTAGACTAAATGCTTGACTAATAACCCGTAAAATATTTTTCCCTGAATAGATTGTAAATTAAAAAATCAACAAAAATAAAAAATATCTTTTTATAAATGTAACTTCTTTGTGTTTGTTTCTTTCATATGGTTACGTATTTTAGCCTGTTTGTGACAATTCTCTGGTCAATGAGTTTACCAGTCTCATGCATACTTGTCTGCCATGTGGAGAAAGATGGTATGGATTTTGAGACGTATATTAATAGTATGGGCCGTTTGTCATTTTAACCATAAATTTTGCACTTAAAAGTGAACAAATATTAAGCCAACTGACCAAGCTAAACGACTGAATAGGCTTATTTCATTATCCAAGCAAATTGTCATACACAAGCTAATCAGTTCAATAATTAAAATTTCAAGCTGAAAAAAATTGCAAATAATTGTCATAATTAACAAGTGCATCATTGAACCCAAGCTGATCACCACAACTGTAATCAAAACGTATCTATCTACTATGCCCACTATTGACACAGGTAAGGTGCCTGTGTGCGTCCAACCGTAACTAATCCCCTCATTGTCTACTCAAGCCAGTCAAGGTAATAGGTGTCAAACTGTGTAAACAAAGGCTTCACATACGAAGTTGGAGGTGTGAACAAGGTGCTGATTATCAACAAACACTATGATAGTCCAAATTTTTGTATTAGATAAAATGAAATTCCAATATTTTCTTATCAGAATATCAGGTGAAATTATTAATAAATATATAAGAAATGGTTTTGTGCTCTGATATTATATTGAAATAGCCGAAATATTCGTCAAACCGCTATCCGATAAAATGAAGCTGCTGTATTTGTCAAACGTATATGCGAATTTTTACTGCAAGATGTTCATTAGAAAGAAAAATATACGCGTTGTCTCAATAATTTCCGAACAGCCCTTGTATTTCTTCTAAATGTAAGACCAAATTTCATTTACCCTAACCATGCTGCTGTATGTACTGGTATTAACTAAACATTAACCTGTGCATGCGTGGGTTGAGGAAGATGTGTGTCTTAACTGGTAAAATGGGATCAAAGTCAATAGAGTTGAACATTCTAAGCTTTGAAAAAAAAATAATTAAAGCAATTACGAAAAGTTTAGTTGTGATTCTTTTTATATGGAGGGGAAAAATGTATTGGATTTTAATATCATAATTAGATACTTATCATATTACTTCATATTAGTTAGTGTACCATAAAAAATGTTACATAATTACAAGTACCTTATGCATGCATTTTTTTTATTTCCCATTCTGAGATCCAAAAAGTAATGAACACTATGTGCAGTCAATATATAATGTCTATGCATGTTTGCCTGATAGCTACAGGGATTGAACATTAAATTGCATGAAAACTCCCAATAACAGAAAATACCCTTTGGAGATAAAAGAGATGACAAGAGGCCAATGAGCCTTGATGGTCACTTGAGTATAATGAGTTTCTCAAGCTATGCCCCTTGGTTCCATCCTAAACTGCATTTTTTGACTGATCCCTGAGGGGACAGCTTTGTGTTTATTATAGCAGTAATCATGGGAATAGTTTCCCTAATAAATTTTCATGAGTAGATAAGAAAATTTTCAAAACTGTAATTTATTTTCAATTTATTACGAACTTATCATTACCCTAGGGCCTGAACTCTGAACCAAGGGGTCATGAATTTCACAATTTTTTACACAATTGTCTGTTTCCAGATTATTTTTTGATCTGACAAGACAACCACTAGACACACTTGTCTGATCGGACAACTTATTCTTTTACCATTATATATTTAATCCACTGAATATTTTTTTCATCTTTATTTTTTAGGAAAACCACAGCCATTTCAGGCCTTCAACCC